AAGGTTGGTTGTGAAAAGCGGGTCATAATAAGCGTGTATGCACCTGGAGAAGAGGGGAAATGTAGAGGAGAGAGAGAGAGATTTTGGGAGATGTTAAGTGAATGTATAGGAGCCTTTGAACCAAAAGTGAGAGAGTAATTGTGGTAGGGGACCTGACGCTAAGTGGGGAGAAATTTTTTAGAGAGGGTGTGGTTGGTAAGTTTGGGGTGCCAGGTGTAAATGATAATGGGAGCCCTTGATTGAACTTTGTATAGAACGGGGTTTAGTTATAGGTAATACATATTTTAAGAAAAAGAGGATAAATAAGTATACAAGATATGATGTAGGGCGAAATGACAGTAGTTTGTTGGATTATGTATTGGTAGATAAAAGACTGTTGAGTAGACTTCAGGATGTACATTTTTTATAGAGGGACCACAGATATTCAGATCACTTTCTGGGTTGTAGCTACACTGAGAGTAAAAGGTAGATGGGATACAAGGAGAATAGAAGCATCAGGGAAGAGAGAGGTGAAGGTTTATAAACTAAAAGAGGAGGCAGTTAGGGTAAGATATAAACAGCTATCGGAGGATAGATGGGCTAATGAGAGCATAGGCAATGGGGTCGAAGAGGTATGGGGAAGGTTTAAAATTTTAGTGTTAGAGTGTTCAGCAGAAGTTTGTGGTTACAGGAAAGTGGGTGTGGGAGGGAAGAGGAGCGATTGGGGGAATGATGATGTAAAGAGAGTAGTAAGGGAGAAAAAGTTAGCATATGAGAAGTTTTTACAAAGTAGAAGTGATGCAAGGAGGGAAGAGTATATGGAGAAAAAGAGAGAGGTTAAGAGAGTGGTGAAGCAATGTAAAAAGAGAGCAAATGAGAGAGTGGGTGAGATGTTATCAACAAATTTTGTTGAAAATAAGAAAATGTTTTGGAGTGAGATTAACAAGTTAAGGAAGCCTAGAAAAACAAATGGATTTGTCAGTAAAAATAGGAGAGGGAGAGTTATTAAATGGAGAGTTAGAGGTATTGGGAAGATGGAGGGAATTTTTTGAGGAATTGTAAATGTTGATGAAGATAGGGAAGCTGTGATTTTCGTGTATAGGGCAAGGAGGAATAACATTTGTAGGAGTGAGGGAAAAGCCAGTTGTGAGTGTGGGGGAAGTTCGTGAGGCAGTAGGTAAAATGAAAGGGGGGAAGGCAGCCGGGGTTTATGGGATAAAGATAGAAATGTTAAAGCAGGGGGGGGATATAGTTTTGGAGTGGTTGGTGCAATTATTTAATAAATGTATGGAAGAGGGTAAAGTACCTAGGGATTGGCAGAGAGCATGCATAGTTCCTTTGTATAAAGGCAAAGGGGACAAAAGAGAGTGTAAAAATTATAGGGGGATAAGTGAACAGTATTTAGATAAGGCTAAAGAGGTCTTTGTGGCATTTATGGATTTGGAAAAGGCATATACCAGGGTGGATAGGGGAGCAATGTGGCAGATGTTGCAGGTGTATGGTGTAGGAGGTAGGTTACTGAAAGCAGTGAAGAGTTTTTACGAGGATAGTGAGGCTCAAGATAGAGTATGTAGGAAAGAGGGAAATTATTTCCCAGTAAAAGTAGGCCTTAGACAAGGATGTGTGATGTCACCGTGGTTTTTTTAATTATTTATAGATGGGGTTGTAAGAGAAGTAAATGCGAGGGTCTTGGAAAGAGGCGTGGAGAAAAAAGATAAAGAATCACACATAAAGTGGGAGTTGTCACAGTTGTCTTTGCTGATGACACTGTGCTCTTGGGAGTTTCTAAAGGGAAAGTTTCAGAGATTGGTGGATAAATTTGGGTTTAGGGTGTGAAAAAGAAGAAAATTAAAAGTGAATAGAGGAAAGAGTAAGGTTATGAGGATAAACAAAAAGATTAAGTGATGAAAGATTGGATATCAGATTGGAGGGAGAGAGTATGGAGGAGGTGAATGTATTCAGATATTTGGGAGTGGATGTGTCAGCGGATGGGTCTATGAAAGATGAGGTGAATCATAGAATTGATGAGGGGAAAAGGGTGAGTGGTGCACTTAGGAGTCTGTGGAGACAAAGAATTTTGTCCTTGGAGGCAAAGAGGGGAATGTATGAGAGTATAGTTTTACCAATGCTCTTATGTGGGTGTGAAGCATGGGTGATGAATGTTGCAGCTGGAGGCAGTGAAGATGTCATGTCTGAGGGCAATGTGTGGTGAGAATATAATGCAGAGAATTCGTATTTTGGGGAAGTTAGGAGGAGGTGCGGGATTACCAAAACTGTTGTCAGAGGGCTGAGGAAGGGTTTTTGAGGTGGTTCGGACATGTAGAGAGAATGGGGGCGAAACAGAGTGACTTCAAGAGTGTATCAGTCTGTAGTGGAAGGAAGGCAGGGTAGGGGTCGGCCAGGAAAGGTTGGAGGGAGGGGGTAAAGGGAGGTTTTGTGTGCGAGGGGCTTGGACTTCCAGCAGGCATGCGTAAGCGTGTTTGATAGGAGTGAATGGAGACAAATGGAATTTTAATATTTGACGTGCTGTTGGAGTGTGAGCAAAGTAACATTTATGAAGGGGTTCAGGGAAACCGGCAGGCCGGACTCGAGTCCTGGAGATCGGAAGTACAGTGCCTGCACTCTGAAGGAGGGGTGTTAATGTTGCAGTTTAAAAACTGTAGTGTAAAGCACCCTTCTGGCAAGACAGTGATGGAGTGAATGATGGTGAAAGTTTTTCTTTTTCGGGCCACCCTGCCTTGGTGGGAATCGGCCAGTGTGATAATAAAATAATAATTATATATATATATATATATATATATATATATATATATATATATATATATATATATATATATATATATATATATATCAGTGCCCCATGCGAAAGCAAGTGGAGATATATACAGAGAAAGATCACAGTCAGCAGGATTCGACGCCACGTCAGGATAGTGGCAATGTTCCCCAAGTGACGCTCGGCCATAAATGCCTCAGAAGCTGGGCTGCCTGGTTACAGGCCATGTTTTTTCCTAGTCCTGGCACACCAGTGGCCCTCAAGCATAGTTTCAAATTGTTTAATTTTCCTTCTCTGTATTCTGATATCACAAGCTTTTTTTATCAATGCACCACGCAGAAATACGTGCAGGATGCAATTATAATACAAGACGGTAGAATATATCGCTATTAACACGCTAAAAATCTAAACAGGGATGTCAGAGAAAATGTTTAAGTTTAAATAATTATGGGTAAGAGAGACAGCAGGATTGCAAAGTAACAAGGAGACTTCAGGAAGGGTAGGGGATACGTAGACAAAATGTTTACACTGAAGCACATAGGTAAACAATATTTAGATAACGGTAAGAGTTTTTATGCATTTATGGACTTGTAAGAGGCATGTTGGTAGGTTACATTAGGCAGTTATCTGGATGGTGAAGGTCATTATGTAGGAGAGATGGAGATTATTTTCCAGTAAAAATAGGCCATAGACGGGAATGAGTGATGTTTTCAGTGGTGTTAAACATTTTTATAGGAGGGGTTGTAAACAAAGTAAATGCTAGGGTGATGGGGAGAAGTGTGTGAGTGAAAGATGGTGAAGCTAGTAAGGAGTGGAAGTTGTCAGTGATGTTTATTTGCCCATGACACGGTTCTTTTGGGAGATTCTGAAGAGAAGTTGCAAAGGTTGGTAAGTGAATTTGGGAGGACAGGCAAAAGGAAATTAAAAGTAAACACAGAAAAGAACAAGGTAATTAGAGTATCAAAAAATATAGGCATGAAGGGATGGAATGTGGAGGAAGTACATGTGTTCACATATTTGGAGTGAACTTGGTGGTGGATGGTTCAGTGAGAGAGAAGGTGAACCTCACACGATGAAGGGTAAAAGATGGGTAGTGTATGAAGTTATCTGTGGAGACAAAGAACTTATCCATGGAGGCAAAGAAAATGGAAATGTATCGGAGTATAGCGGTGCAAACGCTGTTGTATGAGTGTAAAATATGGGATTTGAATGTTATAGTGAGGAGGAGGTAATGGCAGTATAGATGTCGTGATGTAAGTATTATGCAGAGAATTGTGTGTTTGGAGATTAGTAGGAGGTGAAGAGTTACAAAAGTATTCTTCAGAGGACTGGGGAATGATTGTTGAATGTCTTGGAGGCGTATAATTAAGAGTATTGTAGGGTAGCCCAGGAGACTGCCTGTCTTGTTTATGCCTACCAAGTGGAGCAAGGATGACTGAGGGAGACTGTCTCTAGCTTACCGCTCACGTGTGAGGATCTCGTGACGTTACAGCTAGCAAGGGAGCCTATTTTTATAGTAACTGGGATTATCTAAGAATACTACACAGTACACAGTAACACTACTGACACTCCTAGGGAAGGTTGAAGGGAGGGGGGAAATGGAGGTCTTGAATGCGAAGGGCTTGGGCATTCAACAGCTTGTATGAACGTGTTAAATAGGAGTGAGCAGGTTGAAGCTTCAATATTTCTTGTGATCAGCAATAGATGTTAGAAAGAGTTCATATTGTGGTAGTGTCCTACACTAGTTCCCTGTCACTCGTCCAAGGATAAATTATGATCCCATCAGTGTATCTAGCAGGATTCTTGGGATTGAAGGATACTTGATCCGGGCTCTTTTTCTGCTGGGCACTCACCCATATTGTTGACCTCATTGTCTTTCATGCTAACCTGTATGTGTGTGTGTGTGTTTGAGAGAAAGAGAGAGAGAGAGAAGAGAGAGAGAGAGAGAGAGAGAGAGAGAGAGAGAGAGAGAGAGAGAGAGAGAGAGAGAGAGAGAGAGAGAGGCGCCTGCCTGTTGAAAATATAATGTCAGTTAAGTCTAATGCAACTAAATCATTTATAGGAGCATTGCATTAATGATAATGATGTCTCTTAATGCATACTACTCATAGTTACAAGATCAATTAATGGGTCTTAATACTATATATTTAGTAATGTTGATACTGAACACAAGAGACTGATATTCTTAAGTTGTTTCAGTGTCTCCAGCAGCAGCAGCAGCAGCAGCAGCAGCAGCAGCAGCAGCAGCAGCAGCAGCAGCAGCAGCAGCAGCAGCAGCAGCAGACAGTGGAGCAGACTGTGTACAAGACAACTTCACAACACCCCGACATAGATGCGGGATGGGCATGGGTCGTCCTCTTCGCTATGTTTTGCGTGTTCGCCCTCAACTCAGGTGAGACATCAGCTACGACACTCATTACCCACCATGCAATGCACGGAAGGTAATGACGTTAATCATTAATGAATAATTACATTGTCTTAACAAAGGAAAAAGTCCATGAATTTTGCATATGAATTAGCCCATCTTTCATCACCTTTGCATCAATTAATATAAATCCATATCAATATTTTTGTATTTTTGCTCCGCACTGGTAGAAGTATTACTAAATTATTTATTAATGCTTATACTCACGCAAGAGTCTTCACTGTGCAGTACACTGCCAGCTTTTTCTACTGTATTTTTTTCATTATCATATCTCCAGACAGTGTATTGAAAACAGCATTTCAGTAATACTCAACTTGGAAAAAATTATAAGGAAATAAGCCATTTACAGAATCCTGGAGAGAGAGAGAGAGAGAGAGAGAGAGAGAGAGAGGAATAGACATACCTTAAATTATGTCTAGGTTTTGAAGTAGGCTGAAGTAGGATAACAGTTTTAACCATGTAAATTTAATTTGAGTAAAACTTCCTAAGTTCTTAGATTTTTTATTTTGACAAATTCGCCTCTTTTCCCAGGAGAACAGTAGAAGTGGTACAGGGTTTTCTTAAAACTTTTCATTTTGCATCAAAACTAATTTTCCTTTTTAACTTCACCTTATCAAAATTTAGGTATAAAAAATAATGTTAACGTACATAAGAAACTGCATAGCTATTCTTCAGTGTTTAGTCATGCACCGCATAACGACGTTCAGGTCAACGACGGACCTCATATACGACGGTGGTGTAAACAAACCTACTTCGCTGCCAGTCGTATAAAAGCACAGCATATACAATTATGTACAGTACAAAGTACGATAATAGACAACAATGTTACTAGTTTATGTATTTACTATACTGTGCATTTTATCGTTATTCTAGAGTGTATTCTTTCTGCTTATGAAAAAAAAATATTTACTCTAAAACAGTATGGGATGTTAGGCCGGCAGCAGCCTCATACATCACGTGTTTACTGCATCTCTTGATAACATCAGTTTCCTTATATATGATTTAATCTCGTGCTGCTTTGTTCATGGTTCCTGCAGGAGAAGGAAAAAGAAGAACCCCAAAGAAAATTCACAGTGATGGGTTTAGCTGAAGCTTTTGCAGAGCTTAACAAGCTCTTTAAAAAGTTTGAAAACGCAGACCCCCAACAATGTAAGGTTTTCATTAATAGAGAGGAATGTTCAAGTAAATCTATAATAAAAAAACATATAACCTAGGTGTGTAGTAGATTATACCATCTAGGTTTTTGTGAGTACACTCCAACGTTCGCACAACGACGAAATCCGAAATCGCCTTAACGACACATTTTCTCAGACGGCATAACCGTCGTTAAGCGACGCATGACTGTATATTTTTTTTACTTGATTAATTGCCATTTCCGAAGGGATATCTTATAATGTTTGTCTGATTTATTTTTCTCTAGTATGTTTCTCTGATTCATTCGTCTCTCAGAAGTCTTCGTTCATATCCTGAGAACACTTCATCCAGCCGGCTTCAGATCTTCAATGTTGGTGTCATGTATCTAAGAAAAGTTTTATGCATCAAATGGCTTGTGTAAGTGCCTGCTGGTGCGTGTCATTTAGGCCAGCACTTCTCAAAGTGGCGATCAGTGGACCCATCCACAGCGATTTACCAGGAAAGAAAGTATTACATTTTCAGAAGCTTACAATTGGTATGCCATATTGCCACACATCATACGTTCTAGGTGAATCTCACAAGCTCATAGCACAAGCAACTTGAAAGTGGTTCTTCTTCGTCTCAAGATGCCCAGGTTCAGAGGATTTCTTCACATGACCACAAGATGTTAATGTATTCGACTTAATGTATGTAAGAAACGTTCAGAAATTACCTTTCTCTCGCTTATATGGCTTACCTTTACAATAAAAACTGTTGATTTGTAGATGAATGGTTCAGAGAACCGACATGTTGATAAATTAGACACATGTGCAACTCTTGGGTATCTTTATTGAGGAAACGTTTCGCCACACAGTGGCTTCATCAGTCCATACGTAGGAGAAACTTGAAGAATAGGAAGAGAATGAGGTAATCAGTCCCTCAACCTTGAGTCGATGTGTTCAGTCCATCAATCTTGATTGACTGGACTGAACACATCGACTCAAAGTTGAGGGACTGATTACCTCATTCTCCTCCTGTTCTTCAAGTTTCTCCTACGTATGGACTGATGAAGCCACTGTGTGGCGAAACGTTTCCTCAATAAAGATACCCAAGAGTTGCACATGTGTCTAATTTATCAAAAACTGTTGAAGAGAAACAATTACTGTTTTGGCAGTGTATCGTCAGATTAAATAATTATATAATATTTATAAATCAACATTATGTTTGTCAACTCCCATTTACGTTATTTCAGAAAAAAAAAATTTTAAATGAAGAAAAAAGTTGTGAAGAGGTTGTTTTCATAAGTTTGACAAGAAGAAGACAACCACTGCCTAGATAGGCCAAAAAAAAAATCAATGTGGCTCCTTTATTAAACATCTTTAAGAAACATTTAATGAATCTAGCGAAGCGTTTTGAGATCTACCTTAGCATAAGATCCAGAAAAATTAGCCAGATGTATCTGAGGCTGAATTTAGCGCACAAAATGACGGCTATAAGCATTACGGGGAAGGTAGGCAGATGGATTTTCGTGATTCTAAACACAGAGAACACAAAAAGTAGTAGTAAACAGAGCAAAATCCAGCATCAGCGAGATATAAAGCTCAGTTCTCCAAGGCACCTTCCTGGTACCTCTGCTGTTTCTCATCCTCATAGCACAGATAAAAACACCCGTCACAGTTTTGTATCTTTGCAGATGACATTAAAATCAACATGAAGACACGGAAAAATTATAGGAAGACAAAAGCAGGAGTAAGCTCCAGCTGCTTAGGTATGGGAAGAACGAAGAACTCAAAAGGAACACTGTATACAAAACTCAAGAGGATTACCAATTAGAACGAAAGGAACACGTAAAAGACTTGGGAATAATTATGTCAGCTGACCTTTCTTTCAAAAAACATAAGACAAAGATCATAACAGCCAGATGGAACCAACATTTGGGTCGACGGATCATAGCAGTAGAGGACTTTGTACGTGGGTATGCTCATTTGACTCTGTAAATCAGAGCCAGCTTAACACAGAATCTACGAGTATCAAGGTTATGGTGAGCACATCCGCCAAAGGTGACTTTCATAACAAGTACACTAGCTATGTCATATCATTTTCATACACTTACCTCAATAGTGAAAAGTGAGGATATCTTAGCAGCTAAATACCATCTAGAAGGTTAAGAACTCAGTTACTCACATCCTGTCTCCTCACACAGCCCAGACAGAAGCTACAGGTTTCTGATTCTCTAGAGATAAATAATTCCACTAAGGACTAGAGGTATATCATCCATTTCACATGTCATGACAGGTCTCTGGAAATGTTCAAACGTGGCGTTAAAGTTGTGTTTTTTCTGGACTAGAGGTTTTCTAAAGAGGTCCCTTCAAGCAAGGAATATTATTTATTTATAGAATTTATTTACGGTATAGAGCCTGTGTGTATTTCAGGTCAAAATATCTTGCTACTTGAAACCAGAATTTTTTTGTCTTTAAAAATCTTGTATCTTTCACCTTGTTCATTCATCAGCCAACTAGACCTATGTATTGAAAAAAATTGATTCTCTAACCCTACACTAAAATACATATTTGGTGTCTCATACCCGAAATTCAAGATTAAAAAATTTTGAGTAATAGATCTGTGCCACTAAACAAAATTATAAATTTAATTATTGCAGTGTCATCTCTTTTGTCTTACTTTTATTAAGTTGTACAGAATGGTATACATTACCGACAAGATTAAAACTGAGACACATGTGCAACATCTGGGTATCTTTATTGTAGACGTTATGCCATCCAGTAGCTTTATCAATGCTGATTCTAGGACATAATTTAAAGACAGTAGAACTATATACAAAAGATAGGTAATCAGTCCCTCAGCCTTGGTAGTCTTGAAGAATCTGGAGCACAGGCAGGAAGGCTGGCGCTTGTATACTGGCGTCAGGTGAAAAAGGGACTGAGGGACTGATTACCTCATCTTTTGCATATAGTTCTACTGTCTTCAAATTATGTCCTAGAATCTGTATTGATAAAGCCACTGGATGGCGTAACGTCAACAATAAAGATAACCAGATGTTACACATATGTCTCAGTTTACCTTTAATATATTTTTGTTGTGTCTCTACAGGATTATTGAGCACAACTGGCATGTACTTTGTGCAGATGCTGACCGAGTTTGGCAAATCTCGGTCCTACACAGCTTGGATGGGTTCTCTTGTTAATGCTTTCTTCATGCTGGGAGGTGAGTTCCTACATACATATGTCATGTCAGTTAATTAGTGTAAGACCTATGGAGGTCTTACACTATTTAATATTTTGTACACTAGTACACAGCAGGAGGTCTGCTGTGCACTAGTGTACACAGCAGACCTTTGGTTACTATATATGTATACCTAGAAATGTGGCAATTCACACTTTACATAAATGTCAAAATACACATAAGATTACAATAGGATATTTTAATATATAAAAAATATAGGCCAGTTATTTCATTTGTATTTTAATCTCCAAAAAAGTGAAATATATAGTGCATTTATATAGTAGTAATAGTACATGGTACATAATTATAAAATATAATTTGGAAAAAAAATCATGATTTTCCTGTTTTGTTCCAACTTCCTCTTACAACCTGCAATTGCTCTCTTCACTTGTTATTGCCAGTGGAGATAATATTTGGGCGCAATAACATTGTATCGTCAGTTCGAGTGTGTTTTAAATTGAATCTCTGACTGAATGTGTACCTCAAACTAGAAAAAAAAAACACTGAGGACAGATATGCTGAGTCTGCTAGCTCGTGACCTGCCCTAGTGACCTGCCCTCGTGACCTGCCCTCGCGACCTGCCCTCGCGACCTGCCCTGACTCCCCTGAGGCAAGGGAGAAGTGGGCAACATCACTCATGCACAAATCACAACTATGACATCACATAGGTCAATCATCAGTAACTCATCAGAACACAAGAAGAAAGGCAGATACTGAGAGAGATGGTACAAAGGCGAAAGGAGGAAAGAGAGGGGATGGAGGAGACAGACAGGAGATCCCAGACCCAGGAAGAAGATCAAATACAGCCTCCCTCACAACTTCCTATAGAAGCCCCCAACCAGGTCAACCCCAGTGCAACCAAACACTCTAAACCAAAACACCCATGCCATATCCAATGCCCCCACCCACTGCATTACAAACTCCACCCCCACAGCAACCACCCATAGTTCCTTATCAGGTCTCCCACTTCCCCAACCCCAATATACCTCCCAGACCACAGTCTTAGAAAAGTTGAAGGTGCGGTATACAAATGCAGATGGAATAACAAATAAGTATGAGGAGTGGCATGAAAGAATCAAGGAGACATCCCCAGACATAATAGCACTCACAGAAACAAAACTCACCAGAATAATAGATTCAATCTTTCCATCCGGATATCAAATCCTCAGGAAAGACAGAGGGAGGAGAGGGGGAGGAGGAGTTGCACTGCTCATTAAAAACCAGTGGGGTTTTGAGAAAATGGAAGGAATGGATGGCACGGGTGAAAGGGACTACTTAGTAGGAACAATCCAGTCTGAGGGACATAAGGTGATAATTGCAGTAATGTGCAACCCACCACAGAACTGCAGGAGGCCAAGAGAAGAATACAATGAGAGCAACAGAGCAATGGTCGACACACTAGCCGAGGTGGCCAGGAGAGCGCACATGGGGGGAGCAAAGTTACTAGTTATGGGTGATTTCAATCACAAGGAGATTGACTGGAAAAACCTGGAGCCCCATGGGGGTCCCGAAACATGGAGAGCCAAGATGATGAATGTGGTACTGGAAAGCCTCATGCATCAACATGTTAGAGACACTACCAGAGAGAGAGAAGTGAGGATGAACCAGCAGGACTGGACCTTGTATTCACCTTGAGTAGTTCGGACATCGAGGATATCATGTATGAAAGGTCCCTGGGAGCTAGTGATCATGTGGTTCTGTGCTTCGACTACATAGTTGAGCTTCAAGTGGAGGGAGTAGCAGGAATAGGTTGGGAAAAACCAAACTACAAAAGGGGGAACTACTCAGGCATGAGAAACTTCCTGCAAGACATTCAGTGGGAGAGGGAACTGACAGGAAAACCAGTACAAGAAATGATGGACTATGTAGCAACAAAATGCAAGGAGGCAGAGGAGAGGTTTGTTCCCAAGGGAAAAGGAAATAATGGGAAGAACAGAACGAGTCCTTGGTTCACCCAAAGGTATAGGGAGGCAAAAACTAGGTGTACTAGAGAATGGAAAAGGTACAGAAGACAGAGAACTCAGGAAAATAAAGAGATTAGCCGAAGAGCCAGAAACGAATATGCACAGATAAGAAGGGAGGCTCAGCGACAATATGAAAATGACATAGCATCGAAAGTCAAGTCTGACCCGAAGCTGTTGTATAGCCACATCAGGAGGAAAACAACAGTCAAGGACCAGGTAATCAGACTGAGGAAGGGTGATGGGGAGTTCACAAGAAATGACCGAGAGGTATGTCAGGAGCTCAACACGAGATTTAAAGAAGTATTTACAGTGGAAACCAGTAGGACTCCAGGAAATCAGAACAGGGGGGTACACCAGCAAGTGCTGGATGAGGTACATATAACCAAGGAGGAGGTGAAGAAGCTGCTATGCGAACTTGACACCTCAAAGGCAGTGGGACCAGACAACATCTCTCTGTGGGTCCTTAAAGAGGGAGCAGAGATACTGTGTGTGCCATTAACAAAGCTCTTCAACACATCAATTGAAACTGGGCAACTCCCTGAGGTATGGAAGATGGCAAATGTAGTCCCAATTTTTAAAAAGGGAGACATACATGAGGCACTAAACTACAGGCCCGTATCACTAACGTGTATAGTATGCAAAGTCATGGAGAAGATCATCAGGAGGAGAGTGGTGGAACACCTGGAAAGAAACAAGTGTATAATTGACAACCAGCACGGCTGCAGGGAAGGAAAATCCTGTGTCACAAACCTACTGGAGTTTTATGACAAGGTGACAGAAGTAAGACAAGAGAGAGAGGCGTGGATCGACTGCATTTTTTTTGGACTGCAAGAAGGCCTTCGACACAGTTCCTCACATGAGGTTACTGCAAAAGCTAGAGGATCAGGCACACATAACAGGAAAGGCACTGCAATGGATCAGAGAATACCTGACAGGGAGGCAACAACGAGTCATGGTACGTGACGAGGTGTCAGAGTGGGCGTCTGTGACAAGCGGGGTTCCACAGGGGTCAGTCCTAGGACCTGTGCTGTTCTTGATATATGTGACTGACATAACGGAAGGGATAGACTCAGAAGTGTCCTTGTTTGCAGATGATGTGAAGTTAATGAGAAGAATCAAATCGGATGAGGATCAGGCAGGACTACAAAGAGACCTGGACAGGCTACAAGCCTGGTCCAGCAACTGGCTCCTTCAGTTTAACCCAGCCAAATGCAAAGTCATGAAGATTGGGGAAGGGCAAAGAAGACCGCAGACACAATATAGCTTAGATGACCCAAGACTGCAAACCTCACTCAAGGAAAAAGATCTGGGGGTGAGTATAACATCGAGCATATCTCCTGAGGTGCACATCAATCAGATAACTGCTGCAGCATACTGGCGCCTGGCAAACCTACGGATAGCGTTCCGTTACCTCAGTAAGGATTCGTTCAAGACTCTGTGTACCATTTACGTCAGGCCCATACTGGAGTATGCAGCACCAGTTTGGAATCCACACTTGATCAAGCACGTCAAGAAATTAGAGAAAGTGCAAAGGTTTGCAACAAGACTAGTCCCAGAGCTAAGGGGATTGTCCTACGAAGAAAGGTTGAGGGAAATCGGCCTGACGACACTGGAGGACAGGAGGGTTAGGGGAGACATGATAACGACATATAAAATACTGCACGGAATAGACAAGGTGGACAAAGACGGGATGTTCCAGAGATGGGACACAGACACAAGAGGTCACAATTGGAAGTTGAAGACTCAGATGAATCAAAGGGATGTTAGGAAGTATTTCTTCAGTCATAGAGTAGTCAGGCTGTGGAATAGCCTAGAAAGTGACGTAGTGGAGGCGGGAACCATACATAGTTTTAAGGCGAGGTATGATAAAGCTCATGGGGCAGAAAGAGAGAGGACCTAGTAGCCATCAGCGAAGAGGCGGGGCCAGGAGCTATGACTCGATCCCTGCAACCACAAATGGGTGAGTACGAATAGGTGAGTACACACACACACACACACACACACACACACACACACACACACACATATTTAAAAAAGGAGTCAGAAAAGAGGCACTAAACTATAGACCAGTGTCACTGACGTGTATAGTATGCAAAGTAATGGGGAAGATTATCAGGAGGAGAGTGATGGAGCACCTGGAACGGAACAAGAGTATAAATGCCAACCAGCACGGATTTATGGATGACAAATCCTGTGTCACAAACCTACTAGAGTTTTATGATAAAGTAACAGAAGTAAGACATTAGAGGAGTGGGTAGATTGCATCTTCTTGGACTGCAAGAAGGCCTTCGACACAGTTCCTCACAGGAGATTGGTGCAGAAGCTAAAGGATCAGGCGCGTATAACAGGAAGGGAGCTGCAATGGATCGGAGAATACCTGACAGGGAAGCAACAACGAGTCGTTGTACATGATGAGGTATCGCAGTGGGCACCTGTGACGAGCGGGGTCCCACAGGGGTCGGTCCTAGGACCAGTGCTATTTCTGGAATATGTGAATGACATGATGGAAGGGTTAGACTCAGAAGTGTCCCTGTTTGCAGACGATGTAAAGTTAATGAGGAGAATTAAATCAGATGAGGATCAGGTAGGACTCCAAGGAGACCTGGACAGACTGGACACCTGGTCCAGCAACTGGCTTCTCGAATTTAACCCCGCCAAATGCAAAGTCATGAAGATCAGGGAAGGGCAAAGAAGACCGCAGACAGAGTATAGGCTAGGTGACCAAAGACTGCAAACCTCGCTCAAGGAGAAAGATCTTGGGGTGAGTATAACACCGAGCACGTCTCCGGAAGCACACATCAACCAGATAACTGATGCAGCATGTTGGCACCTGGCAAACCTGAGAGTAGCGTTCCGATACCTTAGTAAAGAATCGTTCAAGACACTGTACACCGTGTACGTCAGGCCCATACTGGAGTATGCAGCACCAGTTTGGAACCCACACTTGATCAAGCACGTCAAGATATTAGAGAAAGTGCAAAGGTTTGCGACAAGGTTAGTTCCAGTGCTAAGGGGAATATCCTACGAAGAAAGGGTAAGGGAAATCCGCCTTACGTCACTGGAGGACAGGAGGGTTAGGGGAGACATGATAACAACATACAAAATACTGCGTGGAATAGACAAGATGAACAAAGACAGGATGTTCCAGAGAAGGGACACAGAAAGAAAGGGTCACAATTGGAAGTTGAAGACCCAGATGAGTCAAAATGATGTTAGGAAGTACTTCTTCAGTCATAGAGTAGTGAGGAAGTAGAATAGCCTAGCAAGTGAGGTAGTGGAGGCAGGAACCATATATAGCTTAAAGATGAGGTATGATAAAGCTCATGGAGCAGGGAAAGAGAGGACCTAGTAGCACTCAGTGAAGAGGCGGGGCCAGGAGCTGAGTCTCGACCTCTGCAACCACAATTAGGTGAGTACAATCAGGTAAATACACACACACACACACACACACACACACACACACACACACACACACCAAGCAGGGATAACAGGGAAGGCACTACAATGGATGAGGAAATACTTGTCCCACAGGGGTCAGTCCTAGGACCAGTGCTGTTTCTGGTATTTGTGAACGACATGACGGAAGGAATAGACTCCGAAGTGTCCCTGTTTGCAGATGACGTGAAGTTGATGAGAAGAATTCATTCGATCGAAGACCAGGCAGAACTACAAAGGGATCTGGACAGGCTGCAGAACTGGTCCAGCAATTGGCTCCTGGAGTTCAACCCCACCAAGTGCAAAGTCATGAAGATTGGGGAAGGGCAAAGAAGACCGCAGACTGAATACAGTCTAGGGGGCCAGAGACTACAAACCTCACTCAAGGAAAAAGATCTTGGGGTGAGTATAACACCAGGCACAACTCCTGAAGCGCACATCAACCAAATTACTGCTGCAGCATATGGGCGCCTAGCAAACCTCAGAACAGCATTCCGACATCTTAATAAGGAATCGTTCAGGACCCTGTACACCGTGTACGTTAGGCCCATATTGGAGTATGTGGCACCAGTTTGGAACCCACACCTAGCCAAGCATGTAAGAAACTAGAGAAAGTGCAAAGGTTCGCAACAATACTAGTCCCAGAGCTAAGAGGTATGTCCTACGAGGAGAGGTTAAGGGAAATCAACCTGACGACACTGGAGGACAGGAGAGATAGGGGGGACATGATAACGACATACAAAATACTGAGAGGAATTGACAAGGTGGACAAAGACAGGATGTTCCAGAGATGGGACACAGCAACAAGGGGACACAGTTGGAAGTTGAAGACACAGATGAATCACAGGGATGTTAGGAAGTATTTTTTCACCCACAGAGTAGTCAGGAAGTGGAATAGTTTGGGAATCAATGTAGTGGAGGCAGGATCCATACATAGCTTTAAGCAGAGGTATGATAAAGCTCACGGTTCAGGGAGAGTGACCTAGTAGCGACCAGTGAAGAGGTGGGGCCAGGAGCTTGGACTCGACCCCTGCAACCTCAACTAGGTGAGTACACAAAGAAGCAATGAAGATCGCATAGAGAGTACACTCTAGGTGGTCAAAGATTGCGAACTTCACTCAAGGAAAAGGATCTTGGGGTGAGTATAACACCGAGCACATCTCCTGAGGCGCACATCAACCAAATAACTGCTGCAGTATATGGGGGCCTAGCAAACCTAAGAATAGCATTTCAACACCTCAGTAAGAAATCGTTCAAGACTCTGTACACTGTGTACGTCAAGCCTATATTGGAGTATGCAGCACCAGTTTGGAACCCACACCTGGTCAAGCATGTCAAGAAATTTGAGAAAGTGCAAAAGTTTGCAACAAGACTAGTCCCAGAGCTAAGGAGCACGTATTATGAGGAGAGGTTAAGGGAAGCCAGCCTGGTGACTCTGGAAGACTAGAGGGGGATATGATAACGACGTACAAAATACTGAGAAGAATTTAGAAGATGAACAGGAGGTAGAATGTTCCTGAGATGGGATACAGGAACTAGAAGTTGAAAATTCAGGTTGGTCATACATATCTTAGGAAGTATTTCTTCAGCTTCAGGGCTGTTATGAAGTGGAGCAATCTGGATAGCGATGCAGTGGAGGCAGGATCCATACATAGGTTTAAGAAAAGGTACGATAAGGCTCTTGAAGCCGGGAGAGAGTGGAGGAGGAGCTAGATGCAGGAAAACTAATGGGGCTAGACTAAATCTTCCCATGGACACAGAAGAAATGAATCGCTGCCGCCTTGAGTTAGCTACTGTCGATAATCTAAAATATTAAATCACAGACAGTGATTATACCAGACACCCAGAAAGTAGTCATGGCAGCTTACTACCACTCTTTAAGGGGCGCCAGACACCCAGAAAGTAGTCATGACAGCTTACTACCACTCTTTAAGAGGCGCCAGACACCCAGAAAGTAGTCATGGCAGCTTACTACCACTCTTTAAGGGGCGCCAGACACCCAGAAAGTAGTCATGGCAGCTCACTACCACTCTTTAAGGGGCGCCAGACACCCAGAAAGTAGTCATGGCAGCTTACTACCACTCTTTAAGGGGCGCCAGACACCCAGAAAGTAGTCATGGCAGCTTACTACCACTCTTTAAGGGGCGCCAGACACCCAGAAAGTAGTCATGGCAGCTTAACTACAACTCTTTAAGGGGCGCCAGACACCCAGAAAGTAGTCATGGCAGCTTACTACCACCTTTAAGGGGCGCCAGACACCCAGAAAGTAGTCATGGCAGCTTACTACACTCTTTAAGGGGCGCCAGACACCCAGAAAGTAGTCATGGCAGCTTACTACCACTCTTTAAGGGGCGCCAGACACCCAGAAAGTAGTCATGACAGCTTACTACCACTCTTTAAGGGGCGCCAGACACCCAGAAAGTAGTCATGGCAGCTTAATACCACTCTTTAAGGGGCGCCAGACACCCAGAAAGTAGTCATGGCAGCTTACTACCACTCTTTAAGGGGCGCCAGACACCCAGAAAGTAGTCATGGCAGCTTACTACCACTCTTTAAGGGGCGCCAGACACCCAGAAAGTAGTCATGGCAGCTTACTACCACTCTTTAAGGGGCGCCAGACACCCAGAAAGTAGTCATGGCAGCCTTACTACCACTCTTTAAGGGCGCCAGACACCCAGAAAGTAGTCATGGCAGCTTACTACCACTCTTTAAGGGCGCCAGACACCCAGAAAGTAGTCATGGCAGCTTACTACCACTCTTTAAGGGGCGCCAGACACCCAGAAAGTAGTCATGGCAGCTTACTACCACTCTTAAGGGGGCGCCAGACACCCAGAAAGTAGTCATGGCAGCTTACTACCACTCTTTAAGGGGTGCCAGACACCCAGAAAGTAGTCATGGCAGCTTACTACCACTCTTTAAGGGGCGCCAGACACCCAGAAAGTAGTCATGGCAGCTTACTACCACTCTTTAAGGGGCGCCAGACACCCAGAAAGTAGTCATGGCAGCTTACATACCACTCTTTAAGGGGCGCCAGACACCCAGAAAGTAGTCATGGCAGCTTACTACCACTCTTTAAGGACGCCAGACACCCAGAAAGTAGTCATGGCAGCTTACTACCACTCTTTAAGGGGCGCCAGACACCCAGAAAGTAGTCATGGCAGCTTACTACCACTCTTTAAGGGGTGCCAGACACCCAGAAAGTAGTCATGGCAGCTTACTACCACTCTTTAAGGGGTGCCAGACACCCAGAAAGTAGTCATGGCAGCTTACTACCACTTTTTAAGGGGCGCCAGACACCCAGAAAGTAGTCATGGCAGCTTACTACCACTTTTTAATGGGTGCCAGACACCCAGAAAGTAGTCATGGCAGCTTACTACCACTCTTTAAGAGGCGCCTGAGTTTCTCTGTCTTCTAATAGCATCTTCATTTTTTCACTATAATCTATCTTGTCTAAAATTACTATTGCATTTGCTTTGTCTGTTTCGTAAGGTGAAGTCCAGGATCTTTCCTTAATTCCTTAACAGATTTTTGAGGATAATTGTGTTGCACAAGTCTGAGCAAAGTTCAGGTATGGTATCAAATAGCTGCCAGACTTACGAACTGAGAAGCCAAGAAATGGAAATACTCTCGGTGGTAGGTATGAGAACAAGAGGTGTCGAAGTGATACTAGAAGTGATACTAGTCGTGATACTAGAAGTGACACTAGAAGTGATATTAGAAGTGATACTAGAAGTGATATTAGAAGTGATACTAGAAGTGATATTAGAAGTGATACTAGAAGTGATATTAGAAGTGATACTAGAAGTGATATTAGAAGTGATACTAGAAGTGATATTAGAAGTGATACTAGAAGTGACACTTGAAGTGATATTAGAAGTGATACTAGAAGTGATACTAGAAATGATACTAGAAGGTTTTCTTCTCAAACAGTAGAAAACTTGGAATGAGTTACTAAAGGTAATAGGTGCTACAAATAATGGAAATCATAAAAGAAATGATATTATAGATTAAACACTATATCTTCATTATAGAATAATAAGAAAATATTATAACCTTTATATTATAATAATAAGGTAAAAGGACCCCAATGGAAATAAGTCACTCTGTCTGACTTTTTTGGGTTATCCCAGGTTCTCTACACATATGCTGCTATGTATGATAATTCTATGTAACTGTATTGTGTATACCTGAATAAATTTACTTACTTACTTACTTACTTAAGATGGAAGTGCAAAAACACAACTCTACGCCGGTAGAATGCAAATAGATAATAGTCAACAGGTAATCACAAACACAAATTCTAAAGCTGTAATTAATTGTTATATTATCACATCACTAATATTTTAAGATGAATGTGCTTCTATACACAATATTAATGAATAATATCATTACAATTTGCAGGTCCGATAAGCTCAATGTTCATCCAGCGCTGGGGCTGCCGTCTCTCTCTGATGTTTGGCTCTCTCTTGATGACGTTGGGATTCCTAGTCTCTGCCTTTGCAACCTCCCTCGAGATGCTCTTCGTGACCTATGGTGTTGTTGTTGGTAAGTCATTCTTCACAAGTTTAGTTGTGAACCATCACAACCTTTTCTCTTTCGCTTTGCCCTTGCTTGTTTGTTTGGCACAGTTGTGTTATACAGTACGTGTGGAATAGGCATGATAACTGAGTCACATTGTTTAAACACCCTTTTGACTTGTTGACCTTGTGACATTTGCCTCATGTTAGCTCTCGAGAAGTTTTTAATTCCAGGCAAATTAGTGTTAAAGCTTAGGAGCAACTAAGGCAGCTAAAGAAGGCGGTGCAGCATATTCCCCAGGGCACGCCACATCTCTCACATATTGCCCAGAGCACGTCACATCTCTCACATATTGCCCAGGGCACGCCACATCTCTCACATAGAATGAGGCACCAGCACAACCATTGTGGCACACCTGCACGTAACCACTCCTGCCTTTCTTTAATTGTTTACAGTAATTCATCAAAATTCCTGGAGTCATAGGCGGACAGAAGACAATTAAGATGTCAACTCTTAGCTAAGACTGGAGGAAAGTGTTCTGCGCCCTTACCCACTTGGTGGTTTGATGGTGATGATGATCATCAATGATGAGGAATCTTGATGAGGTGGTGAGGATGTTGAGTTCCTCTTCAGGGTTGTTGCTCACTTTCAGGTACAGACAAAACAGAGGGAATGTGGAGGCTGGACTCAGGTACGTATACCATTCTCTTCCTTTTCTCGCAGGCAGATGGGGGAACTAGTTCAATAATTCCTGTAAAATGCTTCATATGCGGTATATTTAATTTTCCTGATAATATATACCTGTAGGTGGCATTCAGATTCTCATATACAGTTATCATATCACAATACAATTTCTCTGAGACTCACATATTTCTTAAAATAATTCAGTGTGTTCATTTGATCACCCCATTCCGCTTAATTTTTCCCCAGGTCTGACTTCTTTGAACTTCCCAACAAAATGTACAAAACATACGCTTCCAATTTCATATTACTTTTCATAGATAAAACCCGCATATACCTTCCTTAGAGTTTGTAAATGGTTCAAGTCGGACCGAAACGTCGTGGTAAGCTCCTCTCATCTATGTGCGGGTTATTTGTGTATCATTCCAGTCACGGTATTGTGCCTTTTTTTGTTATTTAACGATAAAAGTTTATAGTGTACAATATAGGGGCTATAAAGGACTTGTTGCTTCGAAGGTGAATGATAGATTAAAGCTGCTTATTTTCTAGTGTGTTTGTAAACAGTGTGAGTGGCGGAGGTCGTCTAGACCACAAGACATCATAAGTCACTCACAGACTTCCAGCTCACTTGTATCACTGTTAAATAATTACTAGTCTTGTATAATTAGACTGTGTAATTATTAGTTCTGTGAGTCTTCGGGTTTTAAATACTTCAAAATTGGCTCTGAATAAACTTTCCTGTTGTCTGTAGAGGTGATATCATTAAATAGCTTGAAGCTAAAACAGTACACTAATACATACATACATACATACATATACCAATATATATATATATATATATATTATATATATATATATATATATATATATATATATATATATATTAATATATATATATAAATATATACTATATATTATATATATTATATATATATATATATATATATATATATTATATATATATTGATAGATATATGGTATAAATTGTTGGGACCCATAGCCTCGGAGAAGTGGATAAAAAGGCTTCAAGGAAGAATATTTGGATTTCTTCCTGAAGCCGTTTGAATATTCCACTTCCCCTACCACCCCATCTTTTTATTCTTTTTTACCAATAGGAATATTTTATTTCATAATATTATACAGAAGATTTAAGCGATACATTGCTGATACAAAGATGGCATATACAGTACATGAGATGTGAGAGATACATGTCTAGTATATACTGTTACATGTTTGTCACCGATTATTATAATGTAAAAATCTCATCCAGCTCCTCAGAGCTGGGGCGCGTGCCCAAAATACAGCAGGCATTACCCCTTTGAACAGCCGCACTGAGCCGCTGGAACGGAAAACTAGCTGCCCTGGGATCCCTAGTTACCCTGATGAGTCTTTTGCCTAGTTCCTTAAGGAACTTAGATGCATTCTTTCCCCATGAGCCAAGGGTCTCTGAGCCTATGGGAACAAACATATAATGATGGGCAAGTTCTCCATATTTTCTAGACTTTTGGGACTCCCTGAAGCTGGCAGCTGCCCCTCCTTCCTCCCTGGTGTATTGGAGATAGGTATCAGCCAAGGTAGATGCACATGTGTAGTCCCACACCATCTGCTTACCGTCTGTCCAGACTTGAAGGGTGATACCATCTGGACGTTTTTAGCTGTCATCAGATCTGCATAGTTGGAGTGGCTCCCTTACTGCTGGGCATCTGGCTGTTGTAAGGCTCTTCTTAATAACGTTATTAACCTCATGTCTTGCAATCTTTCTCTCGGATTTACATGTCTGAACCTCAATTATGTTGTGATCTGAGTATATTGTTTTTGATATGGTGACATTTCTTATCAGATCATCATTGTTAGTGAAGATGAGGTCTAGTGTATTCTCCATTCTAGTAGGCTCTATTATTTGCTGGTTTAAATTGAATTTTGTGCAGAGATTTAAAAGCTCATGTGAGTGTGAGTTTTCATCAGAGCTGCCTCCTGGTGTTATTACTGCAACAATATTATTTGCTATATTCCTCCATTTTAGGTGCCTTAAGTTGAAATCCCCCAGGAGCAAAATGTTGGGTTGCAGGAGCTGGAAGATTTTCCAGACAGTGGTCAATTTTTAACAGCTGTTCCTGGAATTGTTGGGATGTTGCATCCGGAGCTTGTAGACTACACAATGACTAGGTTTTGGTTCTCGACCTTTACTGCTAAAACTTCCACTACATCATTTGAGGCATTGAGCAGTTCTGTGCAAACAAGTGACTCTGCAATGAACAGGCCAACCCCCCCCCCCCCCTTTTGCCTGTTCACTCTGTCACATCTGTATAGGTTGTAACCTGGGATCCACATTTCGTTGTCTAAGTGATCCTTTATGTGGGTCTCAGTGAAAGCCGCGAACATTGCCTTTGCCTCTGCAAGCAGTCCACGGATGAAAGGTATTTTGTTGTTTGTTGCTGGCTTTAGACCCTGTATATTTGCAAAGAAGAATGTCATCGGACTGGTGGTATTGTTGGTACTGGGGGGTGATCTGGATCAACCAAGGGCTGGTTGTCACCTTCAACTTTGTTAGGGTGATCTGGATCAACCAAGGGCTGGTTGTCACCTTCAACTTTGTTAGGGTGATCTGGATCAACCAAGGGCTGGTTGTCACCTTCAACTTTGTTAGGGTGATCTGGATCAACCAAGGGCTGGTTGTCACCTTCAACTTTGTTAGGGTGATCTGGATCAACCAAGGGCTGGTTGTCGTCTTCAACTTTGTTAGGGGTGAGCTGGATCAACCAAGGGCTGATAGTCATCAAAGGCTTATCATAATCTTTACTCAGTTATTTTTTTTCCTGCACTAATGCACTCCTTCCTCATTCTTCTTATTCATATTTTTGTTCATTATTCCCCCCCCCCGTATTTATCAAGCAAAATGAATCACCCATCCCATATACACATAGAATTTTCTCTATATGCAAATCTTAATGCCTGAGTCATTGTCACTTTTCATACCAGATTCCTCACTTAAATCTCTCTAGGTAACTCACTTTCCATTACCTCAGCCTCTGATCATGTTACTGTATATAAGACCCATGAAGAAAAAGACCTTGATGCCGGAGAAGGGCTCTTGATGCAAGTGATTGGACCTATCGTCCCCTTGTATCGAACCTGATTGACGCCTATTCCCCCAGGTGCTCTAAGATCCCTACAGATTTAGCGCTTCCCCCTTAAATATAATAATAATACTTTGTATTACAGCATGTGGGATGAACTTCGCTTACTCTGGTCAAATCATCAGTCTGGCGCAGTACTTTGATAAGAGACAATCCATTGCCACTTCTTCTGCGATGATTGGCATTGGTGTTGGTATCTTTCTCTTGGTAAGACTTTCTACAGTGTTGTTGAAATTAATGGAAACCAATAACAAAAGAAAGAGATAGAATCAAGAGAATGAATTCGGTATAAAAAGTATGAGTTTGTTAGTGGGGGAAGGTGACATGACTTTGGGAAATATGAGGGGATAGGCTTCTTGGATTAAACCTGAAGAAATTATGCAAAGGCTGTTATTTCATACGTCAGGAAAATCATCATGTATATTCTTACAATAAGTTAAGATGATGGTGACCCCGTGGCCGGGTGGCTGAAGCTCTCCGTTCACACGGCGAGGGTCTGGGTTCGAGTCCCAATGAGGGTAGAAACATTGGGCGTGTTTCTTTACACAAGTTATCTATGTTCACATCAGTAAAATAGGTACCTGGGTGTTAGTGGACTAGTGTGGGTCGCATCCTGGGACAAAACTGACCTAATTTGCGGGAAATGCTCAACATAACAAATGTACATGTACTTGTAGTAAATAAATATAATATTATTATTATTAACTATTATTATTATTATTATTATTATTATTATTATTATTATTATTATTACTATAATTATTATTTCAAAGGCCCTAAAATCTGGAATACCCGACCTGAGAACTCTAGAACTGCAGACACATTCATCACCTTCAAAACTACCATTAGAAAACATCTTATCTCCCTGATAAACCCCATCAACTAACTACACGAATACCACCTGGTGGTTCACACTTACACTCACTCACCCATTTGACCATAAACAGAAATATTAATCTCAATCTTAAAATAATGAATCCTGTGATACTCCAATACTGAAACTATGTACTGTGCCAAAACAAAAGCATTCACATTACTAAACTCACAAACTAGTATTTAGTCACTTAGCCATAATACCAACTTACCTCATAATTTGTAATATTTTAAAATAAAGAATTAAACTAAGTCTGCCCGAAATGCCTAGCCATGCTAGGTGTTCTAGTGGTACACTCTGTAATCATTATTTAACTACATGTAAACCACACAATAACCAAATTCTGTAAATTCAACATTGTAATCTTGATAGAGAATAAACTTTGAATTTGAAACCTCAAAAGAGAGCATTTATCTGATTCACGTTAATTTTGCAGAGTTCCTTGACAGAGTTCCTTATTCTTGAATATGGTTGGCGCGGATCTTTCATCTGGAACGCAGGTTTAAGTCTCCACATAGCGGTGTTCGGTTCTCTTGTGTTTCCCATCGAACCGATGACCCAGAATCCAGGAGATACAGTTAGCCTCCAGGAGCACCCAGACGGCAGCCAAAGCTCTATTTTAGTCAACAGAGGTTTCTCTTCTTCTAAGAGTCGCATCTTCCTCGACAAGACAATGAATGACAGGTATAGTAATCCCTGAGATATTTTATATATTTAGTTTAGGCCTATTACTGACCTGTAAAAAAAAAATTGATACTGCTGATCATAACATCTTCAATGGTGTCCACCATGACGCAGCAAAGATCTGCAAAAAAGGGCCCATATTTTTTTTTTTGTTTTGGCGTCTCTTAAACACTAAGTAATTATCAACTTATTGAGGAATATGGAGATAGTATGATAACCCCTGTGATATATCAAGATATCTTAGTATAAAATAAGATACCAGACATATTAAGCAAATTTCCTAAATTTTCTTGTAACAGAAATTTGACCAGTATATATAAATCCAGATGTACTTCTGTAAACTATTTTAGGGGCCTAGTTCCTAGGCCTTTTGTGTATACATATGTTCTCGCGCTACCGTCCACAGGATGGATATGGGTGCACAATAAACTAGCCACTTCGGTGGCAAAATCTAAAATCTCCTCTCTGAGCTACACTTCACTGTAATGAGGCGCAGATCGTTCGATTCAGGAGGGAGTAGGAAGACAGAGAATCGAGCCTTTAATGTAAGCGACAACTTTTGTTCAATTCGAAGAACAAGTTGGTATATCAGTGTTCCGTTATATCGGTCACTTAACCGGGTTGTCCTATACAGGAGTAAGTGATGAACTTTTAAAAGAATTTAACTATATGACAAAAAAAACAAAGTCAAACGAGAAAAAATTGTATCTACATAACATTTTTAAATAATAATCATCACACCAGTGAATTAGACTGAAAAAATGAAATTTCCATCAGAAGTTCCTGACTACGTACTGACTTTACACAAACATTAATCATTAATCTATCTTATCTCAGTTTGCAAGTTCTAGGGGATCAACAACGGCAAGTTATCTAACAGCAAACAAACAGCATGGGATACCTTCTACAACGATCACCTCAGTAAGGGATACCTTCCACAACGATCACCTCAGTAAGGGATACCTTCCACAACGATCACCTCAGTAAGGGATACCTTCCACAACGATCACCTCAGTAAGGGATGCCTTCCACAACGATCACCTCAGTAAGGGATACCTTCCACAACGATCACCTCAGTAAGGGATACCTTCCACAACGATCACCTCAGTAAGGGATACCTTCCACAACGATCACCTCAGTAAGGGATACCTTCCACAACGATCACCTCAGTAAGGGATACCTTCCACAACGATCACCTCAGTAAGGGATACCTTCCACAACGATCACCTCAGTAAGGGATACCTTCCCAACAATCACCTCAGTAAGGGATACCTTCCACAACGATCACCTCAGTAAGGGATACCTTCCACAACGATCACCTCAGTAAGGGATACCTTCCACAACGATCACCTCAGTAAGGGATACCTTCCACAACGATCACCTCAGTAAGGGATACCTTCCATAACGATCACCTCAGTAAGGGATACCTTCCACAACGATCACCTCAGTAAGGGATACCTTCTACAACGATCACCTCAGTAAGGTATACCTTCCACAACGATCACCTCAGTAAGGGATACATTCCACAACGATCACCTCAGTAAGGAATATCTTCCTCAACGATCACCTCAGTAAGGGATACCTTCCACAACGATCACCTCACTACCTGGTTACCTGGAGGTTACCTGGGGGTTATTCCGAGGATCAACGCCCCCCCGGCCTGGTCCATGATCAGGCCTCCCGATGGATCAGGGCCTGATCAACTAGGCTGTTACTGCTGGCCGCACGCAGTCCGACGTACGAGCCACAGCCCGGCTGATCCGGCACTGACTTTAGGTATCTGTCCAGCTCTCTCTTGAAGGCAGCCAGGGGCTTATTGGCAATTCCCCTAATGCTTAATGGGAGGCTGTTGAACAGTTTTGGGCCCCGGACACTTAAGGTGTTTTCCCTTAGTGTACCAATGGCGCCCCTACTTTTTATTGAGGGCATTTTGCATCGCCTGCCCAGTTTTTTACTTTCGTAGGGAGTGATTTCTGTGTGCAGATTTGGGACCATTCCTTCCAAGATTTTCCAAGTGTAGATTATGGTATATCTCTCCCTCCTGCGTTCCAAATTGAGTACAAGTCAAGTGCTTCCAAGCGTTCCCAGTAGTTAAGGTGCTTGACAGAACTTATACGTGCAGTAAAGGATCTCTGTACACTCTCTAGATCTGCGATTTCACCTGCTTTGAATGGAGATGTTAATGTACAGTAGTATTCCAGCCCGGTGGCCTGGTGGCTAAAGCTCCCGCTTCACACACGGAGGGCCTGGGTTCGATTCCCGGTGGGTGGAAACATTTCGACACGTTTCTTTACACCTGTTGTCCTGTTCACCTAGCAGCAAATAGGTACCTGGGTGTTAGTCGACTGGTGTGGGTCGCATCCTGGGGGACAAGATTAAGGACCCCAATGGAAATAAGTTAGACAGTCCTCGATGACGCACTGACTTTCTTGGGTTATCCTGGGTGGCTAACCCTCCGGGGTTAAAAATCCGAACGAAATCTTATCTTATCTTATCTAGAGAGAACAAGTGATTTGGAAAGGATCATCACTGGCTTGGCATCTCCCGTTTTGAACGTTCTCATTATCCATCCTATCATTTTCTTTGCAATTGCGATCGTGGCACTGTTGTGATCCTTGAAAGTGAGATCCTCAGACATTACTACTCCCAGGTCCCTTACATTATTTCCCCGCTCTATTGTATGGCCAGAGTTTGTATTATACTCTGTTCTAGTTATTATCTCCTCCAGTTTTCCATAACGGAGTAGTTGGAATTTGTCCTCATTGAACATCATATTGTTTACCGTTGCCCACTGGAAAAATTCGTTTATATCTTCTTGGAGGTTAACCGCGTCCTCAGCAGATGACAGCCTCATGCAGATCCTAGTATCATCCGCAAAGGATGATACGGTGCTGTGATGTATATCTCTGTCTATGTATGATATAAGGATAAGGAATAAGATGAAGGCGAGTACTGTGCCTTGTGGAACCTTCGATCACCTCAGTAAGGGATACCTTCCACAACAATCACCTCAGTAAGGGATACCTTCCACAACAATCACCTCAGTAAGGGATACCTTCCACAACGATCACCTCAGTAAGGGATACCTTCCACAACAATCACCTCAGTAAGGGATACCTTCCACAACAATCACCTCAGTAAGGGATACCTTCCGCAACAATCACCTCAGTAAGGGATACCTTCCACAACAATCACCTCAGTAAGGGATACCTTCCACAACGATCACATCAGTAAGGGATACATTCCACAACGATCACCTCAGTAAGGGATACCTTCCACAACGATCACCTCAGTATGGAGCATGGACACGACCCCCGTGTCCATGCTCCCTCACCATAGGATGGAAAAGGCTCATGATAGGGGCAATTTGCAGTTCTTGATGAACACGGAGTTCCATGAGTCTGGCCCTGGGGCAGAGTGCATGGGCATGTCATTTATCGCCTGTTCGAAGTCATTTGGCGTCAGGATAACATCAGATAGGCTTGTGTTAACCAAATTCTGTGGCTTTCTCATAAAAAATTCATTTTGATCTTCGACTCTCAGTTGGTTAGGGCTTGCTAAAAACTGAGTCATTTTGGGACTTAAAGTAGCTCACTCTTTTCCTTGCTGTCACCTGTGTAGTACCCATCTTGTTTAAGTAAGGGCCCAATAACTGGACGTTGTTCTCGACTTTGATTTGGCATGGGAAAGAAGAAATACTTTGAGTTTCTTTTCGATTTCATTAATGGTTTTTTATTCTTCCCGCGATTCCTGACTGCTATAAGATTCCTTTAGCTTGAGTTCGATGCTTGATATTTCTCTGACCATGTCTCCCTACGCATTTCAGATATATTGACCTCTTTTAGCCGCTCTTTTTATTCTTTTTTCCGTCGCCTGTAAAGGGAGCGCCTGTCTCTTTCTATTTTACATCTACTTTTTCCTTTTTCTTAGAGGAATAAGCCTTGTGCTACATCGAGTGCCACCAAGTTAATCTGTTTTTAGGCATAAGTTGGGGTCTGTGTTGCTTAGTATATCTTCCCACTTATATCGGTTAGGACTTGGTTTACTTGGTCCCACTTTATGCTTTTGTTATTGAAGTTGAATTTTGGGGAATGCTCCCTCGTGACTAGTTTCCCTTATGTCGTCTGGGGCTTTCCACGCATACATGTCTGAACCTCAAAAATGTTGTGATCTGAGTATATTGTTTTTGATAATGGTGACATTTCTTATCAGATCATCATTTTTAGTAAGATGAGGTCTAGTGTATTCTCCATCTTGTAGGCCTATATTTGCTGGTTTAAATTGAATTTTGTGCAGAGATTTAAAAGCTCGTGTGAGTGTGAGTTTTCATCAGAGCTGCCTCCTGGTGTTATTACTGCAACAATATTATTTGCTATAAATTTCCCCCATTTAGGTGCCTTAATTTGAAATCCCCCCGGAGCAAGATGTTTGGGTGCAGGAGCTGGAAGATTTTTTCCCGACAGTGGTCAATTTTTTAAACAGCTGTTCCTGAATTGCTGGGATGTTGGGATCCGGAGGCTTGTAACTACCACGATGACTAGGTTTTTGGTTCTCGACCTTTTCTGCTAAAACTTCCACTACATCATTTGAGGCATTAAGCAGTCTGTGCAAACAAGTGAGTCCCGCAAAGTACAGGCCAAAACCCCCTCCCCTTTTGCTGTCACTCTGTCACATCTGCATAGGTTGTAACCTGGGATCCATATTTCGTTGTCCAAGTGATCCTTTATGTGGGTCTCAGTGAAAGCCGCGAACATTGCCTTTGCCTCTGCAAGCAGTCCACGGATGAAAGGTATTTTGTTGTTTGTTGCTGGCTTTAGACCCTATATATTTACAAAGAAGAATGTCATCAGACTGGTGGTATTGTTGGTACTGGGGGGGATTTTTTTTCCGGCATTAGGGATACCTTCCACAACGATCACCTCAGTAAGGGATACCTTCCACAACGATCACCTCAGTAAGGGATACCTTCCACAACGATCACCTCAGTAAGGGATACCTTC